ACAAATCACATACAAATCCTGGATTTCCTATATTTTGTGTACTTTCATAGGTCAAGTGTTAGAAATGACATAACATATATGCACTGATTAGAAACTTTTATCGTATAGCAAAGGAAAGAACTTTCACACTTAGAGCGGTAGGATCTGCGCTGACAAACATTTTTTAATGCATAACGCGTCTGCACAGTTCATAAGTGGAATAAATATAGAATTGTATTGTGTAAAAATATATGAAAACATTTTCTGGTCACTCGGTCAGATGATCTATGTAATACAGGCAAAAGATACTGACGAGAGAGCCTCTTGAGGTGATAAATAGTTTTAGAATCAGACTTATATGCTAAAATAAATCCTAGTAAGCAATGAAAAGTCCCAAAATGTTTTGATTTTCTAGACTTCCAATCTCAAGTTATGAACTCTTTGTTTTCTCGGAAATACACCATTTTGATAGTAAAAGTTTGATTTCTTGGCTACACTTGCTACCTCCCGCAGATATTAATTCTTTAGTCTGGACGAGAAATAATAATGTCACATACACTACTGGGCATGACCAGCTAATGGGCAGCTTTGAATCAGAGGGTTCGAGTTCGAAAACAGAGAAGACTAAGTCGTCCATTCGAAAGATCGTGATCGATAGTATAGGAAATAGATGTCGCATCCATTCCAAATTTCAACTGGAGGTTGCCAGAGTTATTCTGTTTTCCTTACTGGGGAAAAGAACCGAGTGACTCGGTGTGGAAAATGGAAGAAAAAAAGCGGCAAACAAAGGTAGCATAATTCCGTTTGGTGTCTGTCGATAGAAAAAGAGCTGTTCTTTCGAATATGACCATTTTACAAAGTTCTGAAGTCTCGGCGCGGAGAAAGCACGTTCAAAAACTCTTTGATTTTTAAGTGGAATTCCGTCACGAAATTCAGTAATAATATTTTTTACTTTGTCAAAAGACCATCATTTGTCTGGAAAAGCACACAGCTCGATAGATCGCGTGAAGGGCTATCGAATGTACTATATTTCATCGAATTTTGCTTTCTTTCTTAAGGGAAAAATCTAAAAAAACCCCGCGTTACGGAACTCCAAGGTCATTGAAAATCAGTCGAGCCGTGATTTCGAAATTTTCCCTTTTCATGCCATATTTGGACTGGAATCCTTTTAGAAGTTCAGCTGCGTGCTCAACTCAAAAAATGTGCTTCCCTTCCGTAATCTAATCTGCTACATGAAGTTTTCGTCCTCATGTAAAATTTCTCTTTTACTCTTTGGCATATTTCACCCATGATTTGTATGTGATTTGTATGTGGTATTGATAATAAATCAACAGAATTATAAGAAATTACATTGTAGAGGAGAAAGAGTCAAAACAAACAAAAATTCTCATGGTAAAAAAAAAGCGTCCAAAAGTTGACGCTTTTTAGTGGGCGATTTTTTTGTCACATCTTGGTATGCTTGTTTGCTAGACGTTTTTTTTCCGGACGAATTTTTTCGTATGTTCTTCTGTTAGACAAAAAACAAAATTTGAAAAGATTTCCAAATAATATTTTATTCAGTTTTGAACGCACTATACTTCGGAACCACGCCTGATTTGCTGGACCGATCCTCTATCGCAGGAAATCAGTCGTTTCTGAGATAAGCTAGTGCAGTGAAATGAGTCATCTATGCAGTATGCACTTTAATACTACGCTTTGACGAATTTTTGTGCACTCATTTTTGTCGACGCTTGTTTTAGTACACTTTTCGTGGACGTTTTCTGGTGGGTGCGTTTTCCTTTTACCGTGCTGACTTAAAGGTTAAGTTTCCAAGCTAAAAGGTCTCTTGCGTGAAAAGTCACAAAAAAGGTGGAGTTCCGTAATGGAGTGTATTTCGACATTTTTTTTCAGAGCTTGCAAACCAGTTGGCCATTCCAAAAGCTGATCGAAATCTACACAACTCTAATCTGCCACATTTCTTAATATAGTGCTTTACTTCGTAGCGAAAGGGTAAAGTTTCGACTTATCTTAAAAAAAATTTCATTTTTGGGTGTTCCGTAACGGCTGTTTATTTTGTATAGCTCTTGAGCAAATGATCCAAATCGGCCGAAATTTTTATTTGAAGCGGAACTTCAACTACCTCTGGTAAAAATTTCAGAAGTTTATACCTTATCAGTTGAAAGATATAACTCACAGAAGACAAAAAAAAGGGAGTTCCGTAACATTTGGTCGTACTGCTACTGATATAATGTACGTTAAACATTCTGTTTTACCGCAACGTTCATTCGAAATCTTCAAATTATTCTTATTGAAACTGATTATGTTAGTGAAAGACATCAGTTAGATCGTGGGAAATGCTGAATAAGAATACTCAAACCAGAAAAAATATTTAAAACAGAACGATTTTCCACTTTTTGGAGAACGGTTCGCATTTTTTAGAGAAAGGATACTTTTGTATCTAAAAAGACAACGGATAACATTGTCAGCAGTGACGAATAATATGACTGTAGAACGTACTCGCAATGAATTTAAAAGAACATTGTATATTTTACTGATTCGATAATTTCAGAAATTAATGATAAGGTGAAGATGAATATCACCAAAGTTCAGGAGGCTAGGTCACAGACAAATCATATAAATTCAAAAACTGTTGTCCAATCAAAGTTATCCGTTCTCTTTCTGTTCATTTCTTCTCTTTTCAGTTATAAAAGTATCCTTTCTCTAAAAAATGCGAACTGTTGGCCAAAAAGTGGAAAATCGTTCTGTTTTAAATATTTTTTCTGATTTAGGTATTCTTATCCAGTATTTTCCACGATCTAACTGATGTCTTTCATTAACATAATCGGTTTTAATAAGAATAATTTGAAGATTTCGAATGAACGTTGCGGTAAAACAGAATGTTTAACGCACATTGTATCAACAGCAGTAGTCTATGTGACATATTATTTCTCGTCCAGACCAAAGAATTAATATCTGTGGAAGGTAGCAAGTGTAGAAGCTCAAATTTGTACCAGAGCAAGACTGCTATATCTAGTAGCTGCAACATAAATGTGAGATATAATCGTAGGTCGTTAGCCAAGAAATCAAACTTTTACTATCAAAATGGTGCATTTCCGAGAAAACAAAGAGTTCATAACTTAAAATTGGAAGTCTGGAAAACCAAACTCTTTTGGGATTTTTCATTGCTTACTAGGATCTATTTTACCTAAATAGAGGTTTGAGTCTAAAAACGATTTATCATCTCGAGAGGTTCTCTCGTAGACAAGCCTGTCTAAAGATACTAGCAAGGTTTTTTCATCGATTTAACGTATTCTACACTCGATGGAAAACATCTCCTGTAAATAACTCTTCTGATTGATTGTTCTAGACCTTAGTTTATTGCTTTTATGCCTTAAACTGGTCTCTGTTCACCAATGTTCTCTCCTGTTAGAAGGTTTTTGCCACACATACAAATAAGATTTTTTCATCCTACATCCGTTTATGAACGTTTACTTTTACAGGTACAATATCAATGGATGAATTACAATCATTATGTTATGATAGTGGTTGTTATCTATCAGATAAAGATTTACAATGGGCAAAAATATATCTTGATCGCGATGGCGATGGCCAAATTACATATAATGAGTTTGCACAATGGTGGACTGCCAGTAATAATGATCGTTTTAAATATTTAAAATTAACTGATTTACAACAAAAGTTAGTTTGTAAAATATCGGAATTATTTCGTAAATATGATAAAGACAATAGTGGACAATTAGATAATCGTGAAAAGTTTGAAAAATTAAAACAAGATTTATTAAAAAATCAAATATTAAAAGATATACATGAATTAGAATCACGTTCATTCAATGAAGTCGATCGTTCACATGATGGTAAAATTAATTTCAATGAATTAATTGCATGGTTTATTGATATTGGTATTATTTTCGGCAATGATCCTACAAAAACATTGGAAAAGATTAAGTGAGAAAATTAGAAGAAGAGACACTTGACTACAACGTGTTGTTGCGAAAAATATTTAAAAATAAAACTAGATTCTAGAAGACCAATAAAGTTACTCCCTCGACTTCATCGTTATTTCTTATAAAATATTTCTCCCGGATACAATGGAAGTGGAAACGATGGAAATATTCCGCTTCGATAATAACCTTATCAATAAAAAGCAGGCCATAGTCATAAAGCGCAGAAAATTTATGATTCTGCTCGCTCTAAGAATCAATGAATGCACGGTCATTGCTTTTTGCATCTGTGCTTATGAAAAGCACTACTCTATTTCAACAACAGATGGTAGTAAACGTCGATTATTTGATGAGCAAGCGATACTAGAACACTACTCAGTCCTTAGCATAACAGGCTCAATTTCCTAAAAACTATTTTAAAAGATTATTTCCTCTTGATTTAAAAGCAACTCAGATAGTCCATAAATAAATGCACAATACTGGATACAACGGATATTTAAGAAGTAGTACGTTAGTATAATAAGGCCCAAGGATGATTAGAGATGTAGACTGATACCATTGTGTCACTGAACCTTTGTGTGCATCAGTGTCATAGGTCTACCGACACTAGGGCGCAATGACAGTTGAGGTTCAGAGGCGCCAGTGCGGGTGTGGATGAGGGTGGATATCGATGAAGATTAAACGAACTGTTATTACAGTTAGATATGAGTAATATAGAAAATCTCTCACATCGTACCAAGTTTGTTTACAGAAAATTTTAGCGTTATGCATCATACTTTAACAAATGCACTCTTACTGAATGTACATGCGCCGAAATGTCATGTAATATATTCTGCGCTCAAATGTCTTTGCGCCGTAGTGTCACGCGCATCAAATGTCCGTTTTCTGACGAACCGTCTCTTAAATTATCTGCTCTAATTTTGGAAAGAAAAAAGATCCAGAACAGTGTTACATTTTTGCTCTATTTCCAGCGATTTGGGCTGCATGAAGTTGTTGCATACTAGTTTTGACATTTGGTCTGGATAAAGCAGATAATTTTGACTATAGATGGTGATTTTGGACGATTACGAGCCAGTTCTTCTAATGACAGTTACGTTTTAACTAATTGTTATGGATGAGATTCTCAAGATTTATGAAGGTGGAATAGATGGTGAAGATGAACTCATACATGTTTTAAAGGCACCAAATTATGTTCAAATAAAATAGAATGATCAAAAATTGAGATATTTATCTGACGGTATAGATAAGTATAATGTTTGCTGTGTGAATGAGTTTAACAATGAAATTAAAACATTATAATGCTATCAAAAGTCTATCATTATACTTCCCGACTATTTTCATATGAAACATGATACAAATGTTCTTCAGTCAAATATTTTGTATCGATCACTGCTAACTTCGAAAATAGCCTTCATAGATGTTGCAAAAAATTTTGAAGAAATGTTGGAAATACTATCGTCAACACCACGATCACCTTGGTTTGATCGAATATGTCTTGACTCCTAGACCTACAGAAGCCTGGAGAATCCTATGCAAACTTTTAAAGTTCGAGAAACTAGGGGAATCCCTGGGAGTACAAGAAAAAATCGGAAAAAGGGATTAGAATTCGATGAAATCCCGAAAATCTGTAAAATGACTGAAAATGAGGCCAAGCGAAAAAAAAGCGGGACAATTCAAAAACAGTCAGGAAAATTCTTCTGGCTCAGCGAAGTCACAAAGAATACTAAGGAATCTCCAGGAGTACAACAAAATTTTAAAAAAATTGATTGCCTGTGGAACGGAGCCCAGATTACAAAAGTCACAAAATCTGCTGTTTCCCCCTTGGCAATTCGGCACATGCTCGGCAACTACTGAATTATTCGCTAAGCTTTTGAGAATGACATTCAAATCAATTTGAAAAGGAGAGACCAGACTTATATGAAATAATTAAAATGTTCATATGCGTTTAGTGACAAAAGAATCACACACATCGTTACTAGGGGATCAACAGCTTCATTTTCGTTGTTCATTGTTAGCCATTGAGCAATTAACTTCAGAAAGCCAAATGAACAAAAATTATTTATTACAGTTTAACATATATGGCAGGTCATACGAAAAGGACGTTTCACTGAACACGAGTACCAGATTCTTCTCATCAGTGACGGATGATTAGAGGTACATCTTTTTAATGTACACATAGACGCACATGTGTGTGTACGTGACTTCCTATGAAGTAATGAAACACGTGCAACTCAGCTTATATATATATTTTTGCTTTCCTCTTTATGAAAAGGGTACGCCAGAATTAGCGCTAACTTTGTGGGTATTATTCCAGAGAGCGAAAGAACAGACCAGTGTAAAGCATTCCGTATATAGTAAACGTGTACGTTCCAGGTAAGCAAAAGACGGGTGAAATGACTAGTCTTTTTTCCTAGTCCGGACGACCGTCCCGACTAGTCTTAGCGACAAAAACGACCCCGCCATGAGTAGTCCAAAATTCTAACCGTTAATTAAAAGAAAGCCGTCGGTAGCAGTGTCGCTGACTAGTCTGACAAGTTATATCCTGACGACGTCTGGACTAGTCTAAATGAAAGAAAGATAGAGAAACAGGTTAATTCATTTTGTTTTACATACCTGCGAGTGAACCAACTGAGCCATTGCGCCTTCAGTTTATCTATTAGTTTCTACAAGGTAGTTTTTAGTATACGCGAAGAATATTTCTCTGAAAAATTTAGGTCTTCGCTGAAACCTTATCATAACTTCCGAATAAACAGTTCTGAGTAGAAAAACTTTTTTTAAGAATTTTAGTCCATGGTTGCATGTTTGAGCCAAGCGAAAGTTTTCGAAAAACTTTGCTCAAAAATCCCTGCAATATGCATCGTTCAATTAGGTTTTCAGGTCGATTCCAAATACCACCTAGCTTCAGTTTCAAACTCACATCTTTCCAGTGGAAAAATTGAAATTATTAGCACAGTTTTTCCAATTTCTTGCTACCGGCTACATTTGTTGTCTAAGTTTCTTCATAAAGCTACCATTGATAACATTATAAATTACCCTATATTATACAGAATTATGCGCTCTACAAAATGTGACATATACTTCTATGCATAACTGAACCGTACATTATTTTCCCAAAAGACTAATCAGAAAGTGCTTGTTGCACAATCGTATTTGAGTAGAACAATGTACTAGACGTCCGTCTGGTTGGGGCGTCAGTTTTTTTACGCAGATGGTGTAATGATTCGAACTAAGACTATGGAATTCTTCATGTCATCGTTCTTTTCTTTGGACTAGTCTAGACGGGTATAGCGGACATTTGTTAAAAACTGGACTAGTCTTGACGAGCGAAAGGGACGTTCCAGACTAGTCCTGACGAGATATACGGACATTTCGGACTAGTCATGGCGACCGTCTGGCGAAAATAATTTGTTGCTTACCTGGGTTGAACCTAAGGCACAACTATTTATATATCAAATTTACATAATGCTGAACGCTCGAGAAACAAATGGAAAGAATTCTCTCATTCTCATCACCATCACCGCTACCGACTGTGAGAGGCTGGACAAAAAATTCCAATATCGATTCAGCAATTTAGGTACTGTCACACGCGCAATGGCTCTTGAAGCTTCTTTTTTGAAATTTTTTTTCATTTTGTAAGCATAATACTCTGTCAATAGTTATTGTGCAACAACGAGACAAAATAATCATATTGTTGTCATTGAAAAAGAAAATATGTTTTTCACATTAACAGATGCGAAATTGAAAATAATACTAGAAGAACACTATGTGAATAAAACGAATGTGTATATAAACTAAAAAATACGTAGTTAGATCGCATTGTCAGGTTGGTTTCGGCGGGAATCGAACCCGCGTAACAAAATACCCAAAATTTGTATCATACCATTAGACTACGAAGTAACCGACAATATCAGCTAACCACAATGATTTTTTGTTCACATGACAAATATATGTAAAAACTAGATGTGATTGTGCAATTAAAATGAAAATGTACAAACGTATACAACACAGAACAAGAAACAGATTACACATGCACGTGCATACGTGACTTCTTATGAAGTGATGATACACGTGCAACTTAGCTTACATATATTTTTGCTTTCTTCTTTATGACAAGAGAACGTTAGAATTAGTGCTAACTTTGTAGGTATTATTATAGAGAAGGAAAGAACAGACCAGTGTAAAGCATTCCGTATACACTAAACGTGTACTTGAACCTAAGTATCACGTTAAATGATAATACCTTACGCGTGTTTCCGTATGCAAAATTATCTTCCACGCCCGTTCACGAGTCAAGGAAGTATTTCACGTATGAACACACCGAATCTTTTGCTGTCCATGTCTGTTCGTATACGTAAAATTATCTTCCACGTGTCTTCGCACGTAGAATTCTCAAAAACAAGACTATTTTGCTGTGTGCACACGTGGGAAAAAATACCAACCTGTGTTCACATCGTGGAGAGTATCAAAATTTCCACATGAGTGGTGATCTGTTCTTTCGTTTTACGTAATAATACCCACAAAGTTAGCACTAATTCTAACGTTCTCTTTTCATAAAGAAGAAAGCAAAAATATATATGTAAGCTGAGTTGCACGTGTAGTATTACTTGACAAAAGATGGCACCCACACGTATGCATATGCACATGTAATCTGTTTCTTGTTCTTATCGTTTCTTCCTTTTTCTTTCTTTCTCTAGTGTTTAAAAAATAGTGCTTAACCCTTTGAGTACCGGTTTTTTATTTTTTTGAATTGTACATAATTTTGTTCATTCATGTTCAAAAATTATAAGAAATGTAAAAAAAGGTGATATATATGGATATTGAAGGTACAAAATTAAATTTTCGAAAAAGTTTAGAAAAATATAGAAATTTCAAATTGACATAGGTCGTTCCTTGAGATATTATTTAGTTTCGAAGAAAAAGCCCCTGTTACCTATAGGTACCGCGGGACTCAAAGGGTTAATTTTGATTTTGTTCTGTTAATTTTTTAAATGTCTGATGAAGACATTTTGAACTTTGAAACGTCACAACAGCAATATATATTATCTATTATTTGTTAAGTAAAAAAAGAGTTTTTTCAAATAATTTAAATGTAGTTGCGCAATGTACATTCTTCTGAAATACAAAAATCATTCAAAATGTTTTGAAGATCACATGCTTCGAAACTAGAAAAAAGCTTAGTTTAACAAAAAATATTTTTATCGAATCAGTCTCTAGACGATATGAGGTTTTAGAACACGACATAACTCAAGCAACAGACAAAGAAAACGGATACTTATGCAGAATTATAAAATAGACAGGAAGAAGTAAGAACAAAAAATACATTGTGCACATGCACGTGCATGTGACTTTTTTTGAGGTAATGATACACGTGCAATTCAGCTTATATTCTTTTTTCTTCATAAAAAGAGAACGTCAAACTAAGCAAAAACATTTGTATCATCTTTTCATCTTATATTTATAGCGTTATAAATACATTTCTGTTTTTTACTGAACTGCTTCTTTTTTTGTGTTTATCGGTAGGTAATATCAGAGTACAACTTAGAACACCGTAACAGTGAAAAAGCTCATTGAATTACAACGACTTTCGTCTCTTTGTGTTTGTTTCTTCTACTTATTTACATTAAATGGCGAGAAAAGTAGTCTTTTTGCCCTGTGCCTGCGATATAACTCGAGTAGAGGAATGTGAATTTGAGTTCTAACGGAATAAATGTTTTCAAATTATGGAATAGACATTGCCACAAGATTCAAAATGATCGATAACCTTTGGTTGGACACGTTTCTGAGTTTACCAGACTGAAAGGAGACCGATCCTGAGCCTAGTTCACAAAATTACCTCTATGGTCAATCTAAAGGTTTTCAAGCATTGCTTAGATCCCATTTTGAAGAGGACACTTTTCGCTATCTACTGATGTAAACAAAACAATTATGCACAGGTCCGTTATGCACGGATTTTCTGAAGATGCTCTGAAAAATCGGTTTTCCACATATGTCTTTAAAAACTTTTCGTTTGTTAAAAGGTGCTTCATAATTTCTTCTTTCCATACGTGAAAGCGCCAGCTCTCTAGCTTTCCTCACTCAAAAGTGATTCGAAAAATATGCATATACCATTCTTTTTTTGGATTGCAGCACGTTTGAATTTATTATTATTTTGTAGACGAAATTTTGTTAAACGGTTTAAACAAATATTGTAGTATTCTGCTAGTATATAACTCATTACAGTCGTTTGGTACATAGAAGATACATAAAGTAAGTAAGCAAATTTGATCTTTCTTTGTTCTAAAAGTTTTGAACATTATAAGAGTATTTTTCTATTTTATTTGTTCTAGAATGTCATCCTCCTGTGTTGATCAAACTAAACATTTTCTTGTTACTATTATAAAAACAGCATTTTCTTATTTGATTGCGCTTCTCTTTGTACAGTTACCATTATTGAGCGCTTCAATAATAACTATTGGTAAAGTTCCTGATAAATATAAACAGCAAAAGCGTTTACGGGCAAAACGGGTTGATCCCAATGATCCATCATCCCCATATCGTGCAGAAGAAGTACAACAGGAACTGCAACCCATTCTAGAGGAACAAGTACAAACTCTGGCGGATATTCCCGATTTGACAGTGCAACGTTTTGCGGATAGGGAAACATTGGGTGTACGAGAGATTTTAGATGTACAAGATGAAAAACAATCAAATGGAAAAGTTTTTAAAAAAGTTCGTCGTTTAACGTTCTCATGAATCGTCCCCACTAGTCTCATACGCTGTTTTATAATATTTGTTCCTTTAGTTTATCCTCGGTGAATATAAATTTTCCACTTACCGTGAATTACATGAACGTATTATAAACATTGGTAAAGGTCTACTATCATTAGGTGCAAAATCAGGTGATAAAATTCTCTTATTGGCTGAAACTCGACCAGAATGGTTATTGACGGCATTCGCTGCCTTTCGTCATGATATTACTGTTGTTACGTTGTTATCAACATCGAGTAATGAAGCCATGGAACATGGAATCAATGAATCTGAAGTGAAAATTATTGTTACATCACAAGAATTGTTGTCAAAATTAGAAGTACGTAAACAATGGAATCTATTCAGTTCCTCAACAGTATTAGTAGCATTTGGTAAGGAATAAGAAAAAAGATGAATAGACAAAGGAAATTAGCCGAAAGATAGAACTAAAAAACCTAATGTTTTTTTTGTAATACGCTTGTAATTCATTTCTTGTCAAAGAATTGACTGAATTTCACTGCATTTGTATCTATTTATTTATTTATTTTTGTTTTGTTTTGTTTTAGAAAACATTAGAAAAAACACCAAAAGTTGCCCATGTAATTTATTTCCCAGGTCCAAAACGACAAACGCTACAACAACCAACAAATAAAAATAATATTGAATTTCATCATTTGCAACAATTTGAAGAAAAAGGAAAATCAGCAAATATTGGTAAAGTTCTCACTTGGATCTCTGACTCTACTTTTCAGATGATCGTAACCTATTATTTGTTTCTTTTTACTTAGATGAAGATATATTGAAGAAACGACCGAAAAAAGATAATATTGCCGTGATTATGTATACAAGTGGAAGTACTGGTCAACCGAAAGGCAAGAGTAAACATGTCTTTTCTAGGATCTACTTGATAGTTTTTTTTTGTTAGGCGTGTTGATTACACATGAAAATGTCATTGCAGCAATGACTGGACAAAAAGAGCGTGTTTTTCCAATGATCAATGTAGAGAGGGATGTTTACATTGCATATTTACCATTGGGACATATTTTAGAATTATGTTGTGGTTAGTCTTCAAATACGCCTTTGCTAGTGTATTGTCTTTAGAAATTTGACGTTCTGTATGTTTTCTGTGGTTGTTTTTAGAATTGCTCATGTATTATAGTGGTTTAAAATGTGGTTATTCATCTCCACAAACATTAACAGATCAATCGACTGCAATTAAACGAGGACAAAAAGGTGATTTACAAGTGTTAAAACCAGATTTGATGTCATGTGTACCGGTAAGTTTGCGGTTTAAACTGTTTATTTAAGAAGTTTACAATTCTTAAAAGCGCAACCAACTTTTGAAAAAATTCCAGAGATCGAGTTCCAGAGGATCTTTGGAAAACCAGCTCCGTTCTCAGAAAACTAACTTACAATGTTAGTAATTTTTTGGCATGCATAGATAGTCCGGACGTTACTCTACAAAATTATGCAAGTCCCGGCTCTCCAGCTATCGTCTTTCGGGCAGGGCTCGCTTTCCCCGAGCACGTGTCTATCTCCGAGCAGACATCTCTGGGAATCTTAAAATGACTTGGACTATAGGTAATCGACTACGCTGAGCATAGTGGCAACATTTGTTTTTTGTGTAGAAATGAATATAACTTGTTGTGAAAAATCGGTTTTTCGCTTGTTACTAGCAAAAATTAAAATCCTTATATCTCGATCAAATCGAGGAAATTTTCAGCAAACGCTCAAGACAGCTCATAAAGCATAATCGAAGATGAAAAAGGTGAATATGAGCTGGGCATTGGCTTAAGGTTTTCCAGAAACCTTCTGAAAAACCTCAGAGCATCAGTGTTCTACTGGACCACTTTTTCGACGTGGTCACCCACATATGGCTCCGTTTAACCTTTTTTTGAAAATTTNGGCGAAAAACCGGTTTTTCGCAACAATGCCTCTGGCGAAGTTATATTCATTTCTACACAAAAACAAATGTTGCTACTATGCTCAGCGTAGTCGATTACCTATAGTCCATGGCATTTTAAGATTCCCAGAGATGTCTGCTCGGAGACAGACACGTGCTCGTGAAAATCGAGCCCTGCTCGAACGACGATAGCTGGAGTATTTTTTTATATTTTTTTTATTTGAGACAATACTCGACCGCATGCACAAAACTGTCAATGAAAAAATCAAGCAAAGAAATTTTTTTCAACGCCATCTGTTTAATCTTTTCTATGAAATTAAAGTAAAACGACTGGAAAAAGGTTTGGAATCACCAGCTTTAGATCGACTGATATTTCATCATTTGAATCAAATGGTATTGGGTGGAAGAATGAAAGCTATGCTTTGTGGTGGAGCGGTATTGAGTGAAGGCACACAGCGTTTTGCACAAGGAGCTTTATGTGTCACAGTACTTCAAGGTTACGGGTTAACGGAAACTTGTGCAGCAGGAACAATAGCTGATCGTAAGTTTGCGCTTATTTCTAGAGTCCGGTGCCTTTAACTTTGTGTTCATGTCTGATTTTAGAATATGATACCTCCGTTGACCGAGCCGGTCATCCACTGGTTTCTTGCGAATTACGATTGATAAATTGGGAGGAAGGACAGTATCGCAACACGGATAAGCCAAATCCACGTGGTGAAATTTTAATCGGTGGGAAAATCGTCGCCCAAGGTTATTTGGGTGAAGCATCGAAAGAAAATGTTAATTTTAAAGAAATCGATGGTGTAAGGTATTTTGCAACTGGAGATATTGGTGAAATATTTCCGAATGGAACAGTCAGAATTGCGGGTAAGTATAGAGAAAATACTCATTATTATGTTTTCTAGACTGAGCATATTTTGTAGTTAGTGCTAGGACAGGATTGATATGCGAATAAAGCTCTCAGATTCGAGGATGTATTCTGATTCTGAAGTTTGAGTATTTGTGTTTCTAGATCGTAAAAAAGATTTAATTAAATTACGTGGTGGTGAATATGTTTCATTAGCAAAAGTTGAAAATGTTATTGCTAAAATTCCAATTGTTGAAAATTCTTGTTTATGTGCATCACCATCAGCGGAATACACAGTTTTACTGATTACACCAAATAAAAAAAATATGGCGGTACGTTTATGTTCCTATTATCTTTGCCCGACAGCTGTGTGAGATTATTTTAATTTTAGTCTTATACAGAAAAAAATTTTGATACCAAAGAATGGGAAAAATTAGTTGATGACCAAGAATTTTGTGATCACGTATCGAAAGATGTACAAGATGCATGTAAAAAAGGTATGTATTTGTATAAATTCTGTTTATTTTATGACGCATTTGGTTTTTTCTAATTTCTAGCTGGAATCGAAGATTCTGAAACACCAAAACGTGTGAAAGTTGTTGCAGATCCATGGACACCTGAAAGTGGTTTAGTAACAGATGCATTAAAATTGAAGCGTAAAGCCATTGAGGCAAAATATAAAAATGAAATTGAAAATATGTACAAAGATCAACCATCGACTAAACAAGAATCAAAGAAGAAAAGCAATAGCGCTGGAACTAAAGACGATGGAAATGCCGAAAAACAGGAAAAACAATCAAATGAAACAAAGGAGGATAAACAATCCGCTGAAACAAAAGTGGATGAACAACAAAGAAAGGATAAGGAAAATGAAGGACAAGAAAAAGAAACAAAAGAAAATCCTACTGATGTATCTGAAGATGTTATAGCTAACGATGACAAATAGCTAATATTTTTGTGCTTACGGTTTTTCCCAAATTATCTGACTGTTTTTTCTATTCACGCTTTTTTCTGACAATGTATATATATAATAAAAAGTCCATCGAAGTTTCTGAAACTAGAATTTCTTGAAAATCAAAATCGCAAAAACCCAAGTTCCCAAACTCGATCAATATACTTTTTGAAAGCAATTGTATCTGATAGAGCAAATGTTTCTGAACAAAATGAAACGTCTGTCAGCTCTCTATGACATTTCTTAACGGCCCAGAAGATTAACAACAATATAATTTTATTAAACATCACTATGAAGTAGAAAATACAATTGGTACGGCACTTTGTCAACAGGTATTAATTTACCATCATCGTCGATAATTAAATTAGTAGTAAGAGAATATATTCAAAAATTAATTGATAATATAGATGAAGAAGAGGAGAAAAAGAAAGAATCAGAGCAATATTGAATCGATATCATAATTTATTTGATATTGCTGAATTAACATTAATTAGAACTTTGCTTCATCATACAATAAATATTAGCAATCACGCATCCATTCGTACATATCTCTCTTGTCAAACCATAAATATAATGATATAATTAGAGAAGACGTTCAGTAAATGTTACGTCAAGGAATCATTCGTCCATCGAATTCATTATGGTCCTGTAGACCCGTTATAGTTAGCAAAAAAATATGGTAGATATAAATTTTGAGTAGTTTAGCGTAATCTTAATAACATTACTCAAAAAGGTTTGTTTCCTCTTCCACGAGCAGATGATATTCTTGAATAATTACACGATTCAAACTATTTCACCAAATTAGATTTTAAGTCGAGTTATTTCCAGATGCCTGTTAGTGAGCGACCAACATTTCAACGAATAATGTACGTACGCATCATTAAAGAAAAAAAGCAACGAAACGAAATTTTAAAAAAATACATATTTTTAAAGCTGGTGTGCTGGCCGATCTGATGGTGTATAAATCATCGCTATAGCCCTTCACCCAAAAAATTAGATAGGTTTACAAAATGTATCACCAGATTCTGACACCTTTCGATTCGGACGTCCATGCAGGCTCTGAAGGCGTTATTCGTGATCAGCTCGTTAAGCTAAAGCCGAATAGACATAATAAAGTCAAAAATAAATTCCGCTGTAAGTTTGCATTAGCGGCACCTTACATAACCGTTGGACCACCGGACCTGCATCACAGACTCATTCTTATTTGTTCCGGTTCTTATTTCAGACTTATGGAGTAAAAAGGTTAAATTTCAGTTGAGAAACTTTTCGCTGAAGTATTCTTATATGGGCAAAAATAATTGGTGTGAAAACTTCCAATTTTCGGCACCTTACCTTACCAATTTGAACAACTCTTTCTGTTTTCTACTCTTACTTTCTAAACCGTACCATATTTGGTCTTACCAAAGTCTCCAGTATTAGATTTCATCCATCCGGTTCCTCGATCCAGCCAGAGCTGGAGCCAGACCGGGCCACGGATCCGGTTTAACTTTTGAACTGGTTGGTCTACGCCGGTTACTTTTAAGAACGCAATTTTTGATGCTTTTCGGTCAAATAAAAAATAAAAGATAAAGAATACTAGGGAAAAGGATAATTTCAAATTTGATATTGATATTACATTTCATAAATCTAAGATCTTTTTTCCATTTGACATTGTTGTTAAAAAAATAATACTTTAGTTTTGAAAACCAGATGGCTCGTTTAACTGTGATTGAACTTTTTCAGTGATATATAAAAGTAGAAAGAATGAGAAATAATCTACTACAAAGAAATAATCTACTGCATGGTCTATATATATGCGTGACATTTCTCATAGTGAAGATTAAACTTACAGAGTAGTAAATGCCTGAAAAGATGAAGATCGCAAAACCAGTTAATAACTAGGCCGGTTTATCCTCATCTTGCAACTGATCGGTCAGGTGCCATTTGATTTTTTTGACCGGCTCCAGCTCTGGACCCATTTTTTTCACGTATCTTATGTCTCTCGTACATTCACTTTCATCTCAGCAAATATCTTTTCACTTCTTATTAGTATTTTTCCCCTATTTCAAAATATAATGTGCTCCATTGTTTTTGAATAATTCTTGAACTAGAAAAGCTAAAAATCATACATCATTAGACATCTAGACCATTCATGCAAAAAGTAACTTTGAGTTTGCACATAGCAGCTATATAGCTTGTGAGATATTGACATATATTTTATTACATCTGCTTTGGTATGTATTCTGACAAGCAGATTATTTCGCATTTATCACTGCTGTAAGAGTGTTTATGCATACATCACAGATCTTAAAAAAAGTAACTATTCTTTAGCCGTTCTTGATTTCTATTCTCGATTCACGAAGATATTCTTTTGATTTCAAGCCAACAACAAATATTTTGAAAGGAACAGCCCGAGTTGAATATTCTTTTCTGTGCATAGTATAAATAGAGAAACGAAAAAGCTAAAAATCCGCCAAATATCCGCAAACTTACACGCTTATGACCTGGCCGATTTTGTAGCTTATAGTGCTCCACTTGAAATGCTCATTTCTCCAGAGCGACGAGTGGAAGAATGGGTTCCCGAGGGATTCATATAGAATGGACTGAGCTGATTCCGAAAAGCACAACTCGAATCTCCAAAAGTAGGGAAAACGCCTCGAACAACGCGTTACAAAATGAGCAAAAATGTCGAAAACCTGAAGGATGCTTTTAAAGATCGCTCTCAGCCGCCTTCGTAGAAGGCACTGAATGTTTAAACAACATAGTTCTAGATAGATTAAGATGTTCTGATTTCAACGCAGTACTCACTTTTGCGATAGGAGTTTGCTTTCAGCTCGAAAAACGCGTTGGAAAATGAGTCATTTTGGCGTTTTTAGCCATTCTGAACCCGATAGTGAGCCCGAAATGAAAGCGATAGAGACCCAGTTCTTGAGTCATTTCCACTCAGAATTGGATGCTCTATTCACTCCGGAAGTACGATATGTACAGCATTCTTTCTGACTGAGTGAATCGAGCACCAAATGACATTTATGAATGATCTATTTTATTACTACAACAAACTATTACAAGATATAAATAATACTACCCATATGGATTCTTATGATCCTAAAATAAAATGTATTCATCAAGAATTTGTCCAACAATCAATGCGATAACCATAAAAACTAGCTATTATATTAGATGATCAATCACTGACATATGAAGAAGTTTTATATTATGTACAAAACTTATCCAGTTATTTGATTAATGCGTAAAGTCACGTGGCAGTATGACGGACGAACATGCATATAGTCAGCTGCTTTTCGCCTTGGAAAGCACTCTTTTCTAAAACTAAGGTTATACTCGTAATCTGCGAATAAAACTGAGTCAGAAAATGGATCTGATGGTCATTGAGAATCTGTGGTTTTGGCTCTAGGATTACTTAACCCTAAATACTTCTAATTCTGCTCGTCTTTCCGCAACTTTTATCTCAACAATGCAATGAAAAAACTTTTAAAGCAGTGAGCTTTGGAGAGCTCGTATTCCTACATTTTGCATGAATCTGATTAGTGTTAAACGTAGAAGCAAAAATGTTTTCCACACTATTTTCGATACAGAGGCGAAAATGTGAGAATTATGCTCATAATTCTCAGTTTTTTCCATAAGTCTCAACTTTTGTGCAATAAAAATATCGTATATCAAAAACTAACAAGGAAAACACTCCAACTGCCCGATCGCTTTTCTCACGTAACCTAGTGGACAGTGCATATTCGAGTGTGCTGAATCCGAATATCATAGTGGTTTGGGCGTCTAGACCTCAAGAGACCGATTTTCTGGAAAACCAGTTTTTCAAAAAACTCCAAAAGATAACCAAAACCTTTCTTAATAAGGCATAATTGTAGACCGCACATTTCTGATTAAAATGAGACATCTTCCAGTTCTACATGACCTTTCTTTCAAAGTTATAGAATTTACACGAGAAGGCCCTAAATGTTCATTGTTAGCTTTACGATGATTTAGTTCTACTTTAAAAAGATGCAAAAAGCAGATATAAACTGCAAAAAGTTCGAGTGTAAAAGTATTCTACTTTAAGAAATAAAGTGCCTTATACAACAGGCACTGTTTTTCGTGCCGTTTAAAAGTAGAAAAAAACGTTGGTATTGTAAATCATCCACGTGGCGAGAGTATCTGTCTCTTTCTCTCTATATATATACGTCTATAGGAAGCATGTTTCTTCGTTTGAGAAATGTTAGAAATGGATATATTGCTCCACGTACTTATCCACGTGATATAATAATAATATAATATATGTATATATACTCGCGTCACGTGTATGACTGACGATACCAACGCTTTTTTCTCATTTTAAATGAGACGAAAAACAGTGTCTGTTATATAAGGCACTTTATTAGGCTAGCAAAAATGAGACCTATTTAGATAAGAGGACAGAGAGTTGAATTTGCTATTTGACTCTCATACTGATTTTTCCTTTTTAGACAGATTATAACCTGACAAAAGGATTGTCTTCTCGACGAACGCATTAAAATTTGATTGCACTATGTTCTCGATGAAACGTCCGAGTAAAACATAGTGGAATTAATCGTAGACAACAAAACGGTGACTAGAAAAATGTGGAACTAGTGCGTACCGGTGCAACATAGCATGCCGTGCTCACGCTAGTGCCGGCCGTTTTCAGTACTGTACTGCGATTTTTTTGAAGTCAATCATGTTTTTCATAAGAATCTTACATCTTACATTTCCTGCCTTTACAGAGGTTTTGAATTAAGTGACTAGTCCAAATCCTGTATCAGACGTAGCGTCTTCTTGTACTCATGGACGATACAGTCCTTTGAGTACAAAAGAAGGCCGTCTGATGTACAGTCATGACGTTGCATCTGTTGACAGTAGCATGATTGGTACACAGGTATTTCATTCAAGACGTTCGTCTTTAACATGATCCAGACGGTATTTCGGACGTTTTTCTAAAAGCTTTTTCAAAAAACCCGAGTATTCTGGACGTAAAGCTCAGAGCGACG